CGTGGCGTGCACGCTGCACCTTGTGGATCAACGCGAGAACAGCTGAGGCGACACCGAGGGAGGAGGTGTGCCGAATCCAAGAAGTCGGAGAGGAGTAGACTTCTGCGCCGCATAGAAAGGGAACGGCGTCCCAGCACGGCTAACACGGACAGCATCAAGAGGTAGTCGCTGCTATTCTGATGCTACCGCAGAGCTGAAAAAGGTGGCGAGCCGCGGCGAAAAGAGGGCAGGTAAAGGGACACGTTTCTACTTTTATACGCTGGTGGGTGGATTGTTTTGTAGTTACTGTGACTCGCATCACGGTGACGCATAGCATCCCGCACCGAGTGACGTTAAGACGATGATGTGAAACATGACAACAGCACATAGTGCTGCGGATCGAGTCGTTTGATTTCCGGACACGGTATATATGCCAGTGTACTGCTTACCCCCACTCCCCGTGCATCCGCTGGATCATGCTGCGGTTTGGGGAGGTTTTTTTTTTTTGCTGCTCTGCGCAAACTGTAGTGACATGTTCCAAAGTCCACTGAAATGACTGGGCCTTGCCGAGCCGTCCAGAGCCTGGCGGATGGATGTGTGATGTAAGGATATAAGTAGGTGTCATTGCAGATGATGTGCGAACCGGGACAGTGAAACAGCTATGAAATTGTATTTGTTTGTTTCCCCCCCCCCCAAGGTTGCAGCTTGGGATGCACAGGGCCTGCCAGAACTGTCTCGCTGCACCACGTCGTATTGAATGGAAAAAGGGCAAGCTAGTTACAGTATATTGGTTTTGCATCATGTCTCAACTCATGGACACACGACTGTATATTGCTTAAAGGGGGCGATGTGTGTATGGACTCTGCAGTAGATTTGCACAATGACCTTGAAATTAAGCGGCAACCGTTGCCACAAAATGAGTACAAGTCACATGTACAGTACTGCAGTTAATGTGTTCAAGCTCTAGGGCCCGTGATTGACAGTGACAGGTAGAGAAAATTTGAAATTCACATGATCAAAGTGAGCGGCCTGGTGATCCACCACGATTGGTGAATCAGTCGGACATAGAAAATTCAGTTCTCATGGCCATGAAAACCTGTTACATTCATGTTATCCCCTTGAATGAAGTCCGATGTCATAGTTCAGGCTTCAAATGTATTTAAGAAGAATTATACAGTCTCCAAAGGTTGTGACATGTTTTTCAATGATCCTGCATCTATATAAAAAGGCCAACTTATTGACAGGTGTAATGAGAGCTGTAGTAAGATTGAACTTAGGTATCTGTTTGTGTTCACCACATAAAGATCTGCGACACCAAAGGAAACATTGCATTGTCTTTCAAGATGTGCCTAAAGGTTGCACGTTGTTAAAAGTATAGCAGTCTGTTTAAAACCAAAATAAATACATAAAAATAATTTGTTACTTTACAATGCAGGCGGCCCGGTGGTCCAGTGATTAGCGCGTCAACCTCACATTGCAGAGGTACCGGGTTCAATTCCAGCTCTGGCCTCCCTTTGTGGAGTTTGCATGTTCTCCCCGGGCCTGCGTGGGTTTTCTCCGGGTACTACATTTTCCAAAAACATGCATGGCAGGCTGATTGTACTCTCAATTGTCCCAAGGTGTGAGCGTGAGTGTAGATGGTTGTTCGTCTCTGTGTGCCCTGCAATTGGCTGGCAACCGGTTCAGGGTGTACACCGTCGACTGCCCAAAGACGGCTGGGATAGGCTCCAGCACCACCCGCAACACTTGTGAGGATAAATGGATGGATGGATGGATACTTTACAACAGGGGTCCCCAACTGCCGGTCCGCGGACCGGTACCGGTCCGCCGGGCATTTGGTACCGGGCCGCACAGAAAGAACTTGCTTTAATTCCGTTTTATTTATTTCGGAATACGAAAGATGTTTTATTTTGAAAAACTACCGGAATCTCCGTTACATCCGTCTGTGTCACACTTGACACACGTCAAGCCACGCTTCTCCGTCACGTGACCGATTTCTTCAAAACAAAACGCAGGAGCTGGCAAAATGAGTAAAAAAAAACTGCTGGAGATCGCAAATGACGGTGGCCTTAAAAGTACGTTCGAGACAACTGGATTAAAGTTATGGCTAAATACTCTGAGATCACCACAATAGCACTGTTGCTATTTCCGACATCCTACCTGTGTGAGGCGGGGGTTTTCTGCAGCAACGGCGACTAAAACAAAATTACGAAGTAGACTGGACATGAAACACCAACTTGAGGGGTGTGTTTATTATTATATTTCGAAAACGCCACAGTTTTCATGCAGCTCATACCATATTATTTTGTTGTATTATTTCCGCCACACCTTACATGACGGTCCCTGAAAATATTGTCTGACATAAACCGGTCCGTGGGGCAAAAAAGGTTGGGGGCCCCTGCTTTACAATGCTCATGCAGCGGTGCAATGTATAGTTTGTCCTCAAGTAGTACACATCTGAAGGCTGCTTCATCAACATGTATTCTTGAGAGAGCTACTGAACAAGTTATTGTGGGCTTTCAATGGCAACATGGATGGAGAAATGAGGTGATGTAGCAAAAGGGGTTTGACTATCTTAAAGCTACTTTGTGAGAAGGCCGTTTGCAATGCATAGTTGGAATTGTTGCTTTTTGTGTTGCTTTTTGTGTAAAAGTGTTTTATATATATATATATATATATATATATATATTGCGGCCCTATTATCTGAACTGCTTCATCTTCACGAAGGCCGCGGGCGTGCTGGAGCCGATCCCGACTGTCTTCGGGCAGTAGGCGTGGTGCTCCCTGAACTGATTGCCAACCAATCGCAGGGAACACACAGACGAACAACCTTTTGCACTCATAATCTCACCTAGGGACAATTTAGAGCACAGGTATCAAAGTCAATGCCCGGGGGCCAGATCCGGCCCGCCACATCATTTTATGTGGCCCACGAAAGCAAATCATGTGTGTCAACTTCCATGATGCTTGCTAAAAATCTGTACCAAAATGTCAAATTGTCACGTGTAATAAATAACCTTGAGCT